CTTAAAGCGGATTGCCTCTTGTCAGGTAGATCCCAAAGAGTGTCCATGGGTCCCCATGTGTCACCTAAAGGGCCCATCCTGTTTGGGATCCCGCAGGTGTCTGTTCTGTCACCACTGCTTTTCAACGTATATGTTTTGTTGCTGGGGGATATTATCCGGAGGCATGGCCTATGTTGCCACCAGTATGCCGATGAAATGCAGATCTGTGTCTCGCTTACTGACAAACTTGAGTTGCGTGTCTCTGCATTGTCCGAATGTCTGTCCGAGGTAGCAACATGGCTGGAATAAAATTTTTAAAGTTAAACTTTTACAAGATCGAAGTAATGCTCATTGCCTCTGCTGCTTGATTTAGGCTGGGCCAGTGCCAGATTTAACTTCCGCTTTTTACAAGAGTTCAGCATCCACACCTTGCCCAAGGTATGCAACCTAGGGGTTCTCTTTGACCACAGCCTAAACATGCATGTGCGGGTGGCGGCTGTGGTCAAGTCTAGTTTCTTTCATCTCCGCCAATTCCACGGTTTGCGCCCTTTCCTGTCAGCCCGTGACCTTGAGTCATTAACTCGTGCATTCGTATTGATTCGTTTAGATTACGGTAAAGCCCTATATGCACGGCTTCCACGTATCTTGTTGAGGCAGCTTCAGTGCAAACTGCGGTGGCCCGAATTCTGAGGCGTGTAGCCCGCTTCGAACATATTATTTCCACAATCTGCACTGGCTCTCAGCTTTCACATCCAGTATAAGTTAGCCATTCCAGTCTATAAAGCTCTGCATGGTCATGGACCAATGTACCTGCGGGCACCACTTATCTGTAATACGACTGGGGTTTATACACTATGCCCTTCAGAGCAGGACCTACTACTCTCCCAGCCTCGGCTCTTTCGCTCGACGCTGGAAGGTCGGGCCTTCTCAAATATTGCCCCAAGGATCTGGAATGCCTTGCCGGCAGTGATCCGACACACTACGAGCCTCAGTGTGGTTAGGAGTGCAAGACTCACTATTTTCTCATGGCTTTTACTTAAACATTGTTTGATTGTCCTTGCATTTTATTTTAGTGTACAATGTTTTAATACCTCCTTGAGTGGAGGTGAAATTGCATTTAAAATAGGTTATACGGTTAACCATACCGACACATGTAGTCAATAAGATGCTTGTTTTTAACTTTGCAAAAAGCAGAACATTTAAAATGTATTTTATTTTTCACACAGGTATACAATGTAATTAATTCTCTGCTAGCATTTGAAAATTATTATTATAGGTAAATGTCCATGTTTTCTTGGGTTGTTTTGCTAGTTTTTGTGACCTTGACAATGCCCAATTGTGGCTTTCCAGAGACACACCCAACCAGCTCAACAACAAAGAAGTCACTTTTTATTATTTATAATGCACAAGTGATGCATGTTCTGATATATTACACAGCCTACAGCTTAGCACCTGATTCATGGTGTGGCCATTAAATATTCTGAAATTCTGCAAGCACAAGTTCTCTGTAAAATATCTACATTTTTTGTTCTTTTGCTTTACCAAGTGCTTCATAACTATTACCACCGGCTCTCCAAACAGCCCTGTGTCGCGTAGAAAGTAATATTTTTCTTTTCGAATATGCGCAATGTGTCGGCAGTTAGGATAGCTGAAAGAGCATCATAGATTGAATGTTTATTTACCAAGTTAAATAATTAATTTCGGGAAAATGTCAATGGTTAAAATGCACCGTACAATGCAGAGCACCATTCAGAAAATGAAGTTTAAATAAAACGAGTTTGTATGGCAACAAATCAAATAATAATTTTTAAAATGTAGATTTAATGAATTAATTCATCATTGAACTTAAAAAGGACATTCAGAGGCTCGGAGAATAAATTATTCATGGCCGGGTGGATCAGGAGGATAATATCTGTATTATAATATGACCAACAGTGATTACCTTGGGAGTGTGGAATTTCTGCAACTGTTACAGCTACCAATATAGACGACCAGTGACATTAGTCCAGTACTAATTTGAACATGGGCTTATGACTTGAGTAGTGTCTTTCACTTGGCTGAGATCTTTGTAATGTTGACATTCATACAACTGTAGAATGGCCAACTCTTGCAAATTATGTCACATGATCTTAGATGTCCATTTTACAGTAGGTGTTGGGTGCACGTTGCCAAGTCAGACATTGTCCACCAGATGTGGGAATTGAACTATCGACTCTGCGTGGACTGGGTTTGTGGTGAGCACTGTACCCACTTGGCTATTTGGCCTCATAACCAATTATAGGCTTGAACGATTTGATTTGGACACAGTGCAGATTTGTTGTAATTTAAAAATTCTGTGCACAAGCATGAAATACATAAGCGCGTAGAAATTCAATAACTATACAGGTAAATCAATTAAACCAAACAGCTTCTGCTTTACCCAAAATTTCGCTAGTTTGGATGTACATTATTGTTGAAGTCCGTTCAATTTATTATATCACTTAAATGCGTTTCAAGTAATGTTTTGAGAAGATATGTGTTGCATTAAGGCAGATGAATGGGCCCCAGCTGAAGCGTGGCTGCAAGACCAACTCTGAAGAACTGCAAATATCGCTTTCATGCGGGATAATATTGGATGTACAATCCGCTCGCTTCACAATGTAACACCGCAAATGCAAACACACACGTTTTTCACGCCTGTGCATTTACATACACATCTAAAGCTGCTCCATGAATGACAAGTCCATAAATCTGCACTGCCAATGCTGTACAATTCCATAAAGGCAAAGTAGTGTAATATTGTTAGATATCCAAATCCCATTCTATGACCACTGGGCCAGAAAGACTGAGGAAACGCTATAATTGCTTGTAGTGCATTTGCTAAGCAGTGGCCATAGATTTAAAGCTTTCGTGACTGCAGTGATTCATATTCTTGGTTCATTCGGTAAAGTCACGTTGAAGGGAAACAATAAATATATAAACCACACCTGATGATGACTGCTTGTGTTGCAGTCGAAACGTCGTGAGAATGTTATTGTTTTATATATATATTATTTTATTGTTTCCCTTCAACGTGACTTTACCGAAATAACTCAGAATATATAGTGGCCATAGAGTTTCGAATACAAAGTGGGCAACAGTGAGAAAGAAGTCCTCTTTGCCAAAAACGCCTGCTATGTGCTCAATTAAGACTGAGTTCAGAACAAATTCACATACAAACTTCTACCAGTGTTGTGAATGATCAGGAATGGAACTCAGGCTGCCGCAGATGTAGTACAATAAGACCTTTAGTGTTGTGGGGGGGGTGGGGATTTGGAGGTGGCTGAGCCCCCCCCTCACCCCCATCTGAAGTCTTAACCCGCCTCCCTTCTGAATGTGTATAATCAAGGCCGATCGTATCGTTACTCATTCTCTTTAGCGTTGAACATTTGCTTAAGAGTTTAGTTAACATTGACCGTGTTGTGCCCCACTCCTCCCCCCCGAGATTTATATGCCACCCCGCATATTACACAAGGTCACACTACTGGGTTGAGTGCGATGCTCTTACCACTAAAGCACAGCACCTATGTACACAAATGCATCCACCATACATGCATAAATACACTAACACGTATACACTGTAAAAAATGTGATTGTATAAATTAATTTACATAGAAGGATATGTTTCGTTACTATTCGTTGCCATTCAACCGATGGGCCTTGTGGCCCAGTGTGTACCCGCAGTATTCATGTAAGCCCTGCACTCAGCATACATAAACTAGCCTCCGTTCTACATATCCATGTAGTTAACATATTTTCAGTCCATTTATCTATTGACTTTCCAGATCAACGTTAACCTGCAGCATCAGTTTAAGTAATCAAACACTGGGCCAGTATCAACTTGGGTGTGATCGGTAAAGTCAGACTCGTAGAAAAGATATTGGCATGACTGCTGTGCCCCAAATTTTCAAAATCGGTCCAATAGTTTGCTTGCCTCAAACAAATGCTGCTGGATAATATTTATCTGGGCATCCAAGAAGCTGTAGGGGTAATTGCCATTACCCGTGGCTCCACAATAACGCAAGATTAACTTGGATACAACTCTGGACTGGTTTGCCTGATTTTGTTGGGACACGCCCTGCCGACGCACATCAGCAGTGTGTGTTCCATTAACATCCCACTGCAATTAGTACAGAAAAAAACAGCTATTGGAGATGCGTACCTCTGGAATCATTTTCATCTTGATGATCACTCGTCAGATTTTTCGTAACAACACCAGTGGAACTGCCGACACGTATTTACGAAAATTCTGACAAAAACGAGCAGTCATTAAAGATGAGAGCGATAGCCCGAGTCGAAATTTCCCGGTGCAGTTTTTGAGATTTGTAAGAGAAAAATATATATTAGGCCATCCTCTGGAGCGCTACTATATAAGGTTGCCACCTGTCCGAGTTTTTCGAAGATCGTCTTCTTTTGAGGCAGCTACTGTCCTGGAAAACTGTCAGCATTCCCAGAACATTATAAGTCCTGGTGTTACCAGTTGTGAAATGAGACACCACTCAAAACAATGCATTTACTTCCAGTCTTGTGCGACACGCTTATTCTTACCCTGACACATCCCAGTCTTCTGCATCGCAGAGGTGGCAACGTTGCTGCTGCCATAGTATGCTCTCGTCACGTCACTTCATCAGTGCAATGCGTCTGCGTGGTGATGCAGCGTGGGAGCGCTGCGCTTCGGGTTATTTGTGACTCGCCAGTTGTTTAGCCACTGGATGTCGATGCCACCAAGGAATTCCAACGCAGAAATGGCTGTGCCCCAGCAGCGCAGTGATTAGGCTTGGTTTCTGGAGTAAATCGGCAGTTTCCCATTGACACAACAGGGGAGTTTTAACTAGCGCACTCGTGGACCAGATGTTCTTTTTATAATGAAATAGAAGCTATAAAAAGTCTGTTAAGAGAGCCTTCATTTGTTTGGTGATTTTACCGTACAAATGTAAAGTCGTAAGTACGCAAACGTGCTTCCGAACAAGAACATACCCATTAATTGCACAGGTATGCAGCAATACAGGCGTCTCGTTTAATGAGCAAAATACGTTACGCGAAAATTGCTCGGTCAACGAAAATTCGTTAAACGATCACCATGTTCTCATTGAATCCCATGTGGAACATCCCCAAAATGTTCCACCCTTGAACTACGTGAGAAATACGAATTATAATTTTCAAATAAAGTTCTAAAACATCAAATGTAACACTTACCACACGTGAAGAACCACAGTGCTTGCCTGTCCTCAGCGTCTGCAAATAGCGCCGCCGCCACCCCCACCTATTACAGTACCACCACTAGACCCCCTCCCCATACGACGAATCATGCGGAAACACAGCACAGGAGAGCTGGTAAACAAACAGCTGCGGACAACCGTGCCGCCCCCTGCCACCACAGGACGCATTTTGCTCGTTTTGCGAACAAATTGGTCTAAATTGAAATTGCTCATTATAGGGAATTCTCGTAGAAAGAACGCCCGTTAAGAAAAACACACCTGAACTGTTATTTTTGAAATACTTCAAAAGGTTTACTTGAAAGTATTTTATTGCCACTATTTGCCAAAAATTGTAAATATACGGACCTTCGTATTGGTAAGCTGTTTGATACGTTTCATGGCAATTGGTTGATCGGTTTAATTACTTTCATGAAATCACCATCGCCTTAATCGTGTAATAGTCAGTACCCCACCAACCATGCAATGCGTATCGTGGCGGCTGAGCAATCTGGAGATCCTTACTCAGTGGGGAAGCGATTGCCAACCAAATACAACGTTCAAAAACAATTTTATATAGACAATACACGTATTAAACGAGAGGACAAAATTTGTATTCTAAAATGTGATTGAGTCGTCTCGATTTTTTCCACTTCATTTGAATTATTATCTGAGAATAATTACTGTTTGTGGGTGAGCTGCTCTACAACTTTGGTGCCAAAACAACAAATCCACTTTCAGGAATTGTCAATCTGCTCTAAAGTTTTAACAATAAAAACGTTCTACCACGAGAAAACATATAAAGTGTCCTGGATACTGGACTGATAGACGGGCAGAAAATGGACAAAATGCTTCCCGAGCATAGGAAGCAGCAGTCATTGGATTCCCAAACAACAGCACCTGCAATTACGTATCAACCTATTGGCAGAGCAGCTCGCCTACCCATAACCCATTGCACGACACAGATGCAGTGTCGGTTCCTCTGTGGGGAAGTGATGGAGAGAGATTTTTTCCCCTCCTCCCCCCTCAAGACTAAAAAAATAGACATTTTATCGATTTTTAAAAGTTTGGATTAAAAAAAAAGCTTGAATGATCAGGACAGCCCCCTGGGAAATTTCTAGATCCGCCTTTGCACAGATGCTTTAATCGTTTCCTGTTCTCAGTATCATTTGTTTGTTAAGGAGTTGTCCGTCTCCAACCCGTATTGACCAAACAAGCTCCATGACTGACAATGAGCTGTACATTATTAGCGACTATTATATACAGTAATGCACAGGAAAAGTAAATGTATTTATGATTACAGGCATACCTCTTAGAGCGCTGCCTCTTATAGTGCTGATAAACGCACACAGGGCACTGACGACCAGGCCGCGCGTGAATACCCCAACACCCTGAGGGCGATCATCGACCAAGGCAACTACAGTACATAATTTAATTGTATTTTTATGCCATCATTAAAAGTTCAAATTTTCATTCATAATATGCTTTCATACATTTATCATGTGTACAATATCATTAAGGCTGTTACCGATACACCATGTTACAGTGACTTCCTATAGTGCTGTTTCGTGTAGCGCTCCGTTTATCAAGAATGCATCCTGAGAGCTGTAAGACGTATGCCTGTACAAACTGTTTACTTTTAGAAACTAATGATAACTTAAAGCTTTCGTGACTGCAGGAATTTATATTCTTTGGGTCTTTCGGTAAAGTGAACCTATCTACGTGACTTTACCGAAAGACCCAAAGAATATACTAATGATACTAATACAAAATAAATTTGGAAATGCGTACATGGCTACTCAAACTAAGAGAGGTATTGGGCCTTCAAAATTAAGGAGATGATGCATAGATGCAGGAGAAAATAAAGTAGATATAAACGTGTGCCCGGTGTTATAGGAAAAAAGAGCCATTCACGAGCATCGGGATTGAACGGCTCTATTTGGTGGACCACACACACAGGAAATGTCCAATGGCAGCTTACCATTGGGGTCCCATGGGGCTCGGCACCACTCGTGCAATCGCAAAAGGAGAAGAGAAAAAAACCTTGACAAAACTAACCTGCCCATTCAAAATATTACACACTGCTTTCCACACAGCCTTCTCCCGATCCCCCCCTCTCCTTTCCCAACCGTCGTGGGCTTCTAGGCCGGCCAACCGGCCGAGACTGCATTCGTCCAATGTCCATCCGAGTTCATGGTCCGCTCAGGTCTCCGCTCCCAGCCAGCAGCACGGACAGAACTAGCAGCATGAGCCAGACGATGGGGATGGCGCGGCGGAAAGCGGGCGAGCCGGAGCCCGCAGCAGTCTGGCTCCGCTCGTCCACGCTGCAACGCGTGCCCACCCAGCCGCTGAAGCAGCGGCACTCGAAGTTCCTCCTCCAGCGCGCAACGTCACGAGCCGGGAGTCTCCCACTCACCACAAAGCCACCCCTCGCTCGTGGGACGTCGCCGGCATCACCACCGCCATCCTCCCATGTCCACGGCCGCTGAACCTCAAAAGCGTCGTCACTCAGATGCAGAAGAGCGCCACTGTCCGGATCTTTGCGAGCGCAGCGTCCGTTCCTGCGGCACAGCGCCTGGCCACAGAGTCGCGCCGCGGATGTCACGTTCACCACGTATGGGCCCAGCCGCTCTGCAATGTAGCTCCGTAGTTTCTCGCAGTTTGCCTGCGAGGGGGCACACCGGCAGAGGGGGCATCGCCAGGATCATTAGGCGTGAGAAAGGAGTGGTAAAGGATACGCTCGCTGCTGCCCGTGGTGTAATGGTCAGCAGACTGGACTTGCGAACTAAAGGTCGCTGGTCCAATTCAATCTCCTGGCACGGAAGTTAAAACAATTGGGCCACTTTCTTAAACCGCCACCCCCCCCCCCCCCCCCCCCCCCCACCTCTGTCCACCCAGCAGTATAAAAGGGTTAACCACAGCTAGTTTATCCGCAAATCACGAGTGGAGGAGTAGAGTGTGGGTTTTCCCACTCCTTTCGAGATGTCCGGCCAGCGTGGAAAAGTAGGCCATAAATACCTTCCAGAGCGGCTCTCTAGAGCCCACTCTAGTGGGGGCCCATATGTCAGCAGTGGCGTAAACAAGTAATTGCTGGGTTGCGCATTTACCTTGAACTGTAATTATAATGATGCCATTTATTTGGAAAGCCTAACTGGGTATCAAGCCTCCTTTTCAGGACGGTCCTCAATTGGGATGTTTTGCCAATACCCAGAGAACACTCCACTTCCTGTACTGCCCACTCAGACGGGTTCACCACCACACCCCCAGTACTGCCATCTCCTGGCCACCTCACAGACCTAGCAAGTTGGGGAGTTGCACAAACCTACGTGATCCACTAATGCTTGCCTACAAATTACCGGATTGCATCCGCCGCTGCCACACCACATTCCAAAATGATTCCAACACTTTTATTCCGAGTCTTTCACTGAAAACTCACCCACGGCACCTTACGTTGATGCATATTTTGCACACGTTTCTCATCTGCTCGTTATGACTGCATTAAACAACTCACCACATACACACTGTGCACAATGAACATTCTTCACAACCACAGCCAGGTTTCGAAGTGAGACTTACAATTCGACAGCTTTGCATGACCATAGGAGTAATTTGGGAGCACGTTTGACAAAGATTCACCTGTACCAGCCAAGTGGTTTGATGGAAATGTCAGGCGATAAAAGTCTGACCGTATCACCCTTGATGGGTTGTACAGTGTAATACGTTGAATGATATTTGCAGGTGGAAGCCCATGGGTTTCCTTAAACCTTAGGCATCAAGATCGTCAAATTGATGCGTGCTCTCACAGGGAGCCATAACTATTCCTGAGTAAGCGGCGCACCATGATTTATTACTCTGAAATCTATTGGAACAGCTGGATTCTGAACAAGCTGCAGCGTGTGCAAAGTTGAAATTAGAAGACGAAAACAAATGGCGTCTACTTCATGAGAAACTCCATTTGTCTGCTTGAGTCAGTCGGTCGCAACGCTGGCGCGATTCGTGTCGTACAGAGTTGAGTTCAGGTTCATTCTGACCAGGAGGAACCCATTGATAATTAGTTACACATCGCCAATGATCTTTGACTTAAGTCAACTTTTTTTCACGAGTAATACAATGAAGTTGTATAATTACCTACACCGTTATCTTATTAAGGAATATATTGACACTCGTTTGCCAAGCAAAGCCTCGTTGAGCGTCGAGACTCTTGTCAGGAGCATGCTGCCACGTTTTCAGAATCAGGGGTGATGTTGCTGCTGCTACGTGTGTTTCCCAATTTATTAATTTGCACGTAATTTTAGTGTTAGGATGTTTTGGCTGATACTTGTCAATTTTTTTTTTGCTATAGAAGGAAACCGAGAGAACCTGGAGGAAACCCATGCACTACACTGGGAGAACATACAAACCCCACACAGAAAGGTGCCCGGTTTGGGACTTTAACCCAGGTCCTTCTTGCTGAGAGGCACCAAGATCGTTACAACTACACCACCCTGCTGCCGCCCATTCATCTCCTATCGCTGTAACGGTTTGAGTTGGGAAATTGTTTGTGGACGCACCCTGGACCGAGCGTACTTGATGTCTCCCCACAGGATGACTCCAGCTGCCCCCAGTGCCGCGCTCTCCCCGATGCTGTGCTGCAAGTCGACCTGTAAACACAGAGATATCGGCCATTCACAAGAGGCTCCAGTGAAACGGATTATATGCATTGCAACAGCTCTCTTGACTCGATGACAGTCCCCCCCACCCCACAAAAGTTTGTCCGAGACTAAGAATCAACCAGAACAGCCCCGTAGCGTCGGGGGGCGGGGGGCAAAGTCCCCCTGCTGCAGGCTCAGTGCCCCTTTATTTTGTTTAGTGTTTGACATTAGTTTAAACTTTGTTTGGTGTTGACTGTCAAGCCCCCACCTAGTGTTTCTACGTGCCCCCTTTAGACAAGATCACGCCGCAGAGTTGAAATGCACAGAGGGCTGCGCAGCGTGCGAGCGGAGCCACGGGAGAAGCAGATCTCTCGCCTCCTGGCCGTATGCCACTGCTGCTGGGGTGACTCGCAAATTAACTCTACTTTTAAAATATTTGTTTTATTAAAATACAGTACATCGAGTGTGTATCGAAATTGTGCAATGTTCGAGTGTGCTATCTCTGCTATGAAGGAAACGGCCAACACGTTCGTCAATAATACAGCCTTAGGAAATATCTATAGTAGGCGAAATTTCGCGCAATCACCCTTGTATATTTTTTTTCGTTTCAGGCACTGTCCTTGGCGAATGTGTTGAGTTCTTTTGCAATTTGTGCCAGTGCACCACTACCAACGTAGTATCGAGTCGTTATTTGACTGGTGCGCTCCAGTCACTCACACGAGCATAGTCGGCTCTGAGATAAGTGGTGAAGATTTCCCATTCCCATAACAAAGCGTCTGTCTTAGTGTTGTGTGGTAAAAGACCATGCTGAGGCAGGTCTTCAGGTAAGGGCTTGCGCTGGTTTATTAACAAAGGGAGTGAGTAACCACCAGGGGTGGATGTCCTACACTGGGTACTTCTCTTGGACCCTTAGCTCTCTCTACTGCTAGTCGGCTGGCCGTCTCTTCGGGCTCTCTCGAGCCAACACCGACCAACCGAGGAGCGCAGCACCTTTCGTAACTACACCCGCTTCTTCAGCTCTACCCCTGGCTCTCTCTCCAACTCCCTTCAACCCCTCTCTATGCCAGACTCCTCCAACGACCCCGCTTTTGTCACGGGGCCCCCCTTAAATACCCCTACGTTACATGACGTCATCGCACCTCTCAGCACGTATGACATCACGTCCCCATATTACTCCTATACATTACCCCCCCCCGCCCCGTGAAAAGAAATCAGCCGACCTGGCTGTGAATGATATGAAAGCGGAGCCCCGTTAACGCGAAGAGGAGGCAACAGCGGATAACAATGATAACAAACATGTGAAGCGCGTGTGAAGGTGAAGCCATCTGCGGGGAAACCGAACAAGAACATTAGGGCAGCACGACAATAAGGAAGGCCATCTTCATGCGGAGCAACGCGGTGAATATGACGGCGATGGCTGGAGGCCGATGACAAGGGTCCTAATGGCCATCATCGGAACCGAACGCCCCTTGACCGCGTGTGAGCTGCAGGTCCGCTCCCACATGCGGCGGCGGTCATAGGGAGAGGCAACGCACCAGTTGGCGACTGGCTCGACGTCGGGGCCTCCACAGGAAGATGCGTCACCTCAGGAGCTACTGGTAGGGGCTCTGTAGGCGAACACACATGGTGGACATTGTGCTCAACATCATACCCGTGCGGCCCGGTGTGTCGGACAAATCAATCACCGGCCGCTCAGGAAGTGGGGATGAATCAAGGAGGCTAGGTGGTACATATCTTTTCAGCCGCGACGGGTGTACGATCCAGTGCCAGCCTGTACGTGGCCAGGACCCCCGGGACGAACAGGTCCCAGTCCGATAGGGACGTGCTCACCTGGTAGCACAGCATAGACGTGAGGGTGCAGTTTAACCATTCAACCATGCCATCGGACTGAGGGTGATAGGGCAATGTACAAATTTTCTTGGTGCCAAGGAGGTCACAGACCTCCTTAAGCAGTCGTGAAGGAAAATTTTGGCCCTGGTTCTTTAATAGTTGTTCTGGCACACCCTTGTCCACCACGTAACCCTGCACAAAGGCCTCGGTGATGGACGAGGCCGACTGGTCTGGCAAGGGCCACGCCATAGGCCAGCGCGTGAGGTACTCGACCCCAACTAAGAGATATTTGTGTCCCCGTTGGGACGTCGGAAAGGGGTCCAAAATGTTAAGTGCCACGAGCTCATTTACACGAGTAACCCGGACGGACTGCAGCGGGGCTCGATCATGGCCAACCGGGGCTTTCCACCGTGCACAATCGTGGCAACCTTTCAAAAACAGTGCCACATCACTTTCCACACCTGGCCAGTTGTAGTCCTGTTTAAGGGTCAACATGGTCTTATGATAACCAAGGTGCATAAGTTTCTCGTGAATGGCACGAGTCAATTTTCCTTGCAGGCCAGTGGGTACCACCACACAATAGCGCTCCAATTCGGTATCCCAATGCATGAGGGGGCCGTCATGTACAGCGACAAACGGACCCGCCGACGGAGCTGAGCCCTGCGCATTTAGACCAACACGGCATCGTAACTGCAACAGAGAGGAATCCTCTATCTGCAAGTTGGACCACACCTCTCGGGAGAGACCCAGGCCAAAGTCCATAGGCAATGCCACGCCCGGAGGGGGGGCTGCTTCGGCCATTGCAACCAACTGGGCCGCGGTGTCAACCGAGGTCCTGCAGTAACTGGAACCCAGGGTACATATGCACCCGCCCTCTGTAGGCAATCTGGACAGGCCATCCGCGTTTCCATGCTGGTCCCCTTCCTGTGGATGACATTGAAGGAATATTCCTGCAGCACCTCAAGCTAGCGGGACAGCTGACCTGAGGGCTGATCTCTCCGCAGGGAATATTGCAGGGTCGCATGGTCAGTTTGAACGGTAAACCGCCTGCCATACAAGTAGGGCCTATACAGCTACATAAAAACCACAATGGCCAGCAGCTCTCTCCGGGTCACACAATACCGCTGCTCAGCGGTGGACAACACGCGACTGCCGTATGCAACAACCCTTTCAACCCCGTCGACCACCTGAGCCAGGACAGCCCCAGTGCCCGAGTCACTGGCTTCAGTGTCGAGGATGAAGGGCTTAGAAAAGTCAGGGTACCCCAAGGGCGGCGCATCGACCAAGAATGCGTGAAGCACAACAAAGGCCTCTTCCTCCTCTACGCCCCAGGGAAATTTTTATCCCTTTGCGGATAGTGCATGCAGTGACTTCACTAGAGTCGCAAAATCGTGCAGAAAGCGACGATAGTACGAGGCGAAACCGACGAAGCTGCGCACCTCGGTGACAGATGTGGGAGTCGGCCATGACCGGACACAAGCTGTCTTCTCCGAATCCATGGCAACACCTGACGCACTAATAAATGTGGCCCAAATATTTTACATTAACAGGTTCACACTAGCACAGCCGCCGTTTACATTGACATGCGAATCTCTTACATTGACATGCTAATCTCTCTCACTTCAACATCACTAGCCCCGCCCACTGCGTTTATGACCCTTGGGCTATACCCATTTCAAACCTTTAAAACAGCTTGCCTCAGCAGGTTTCCCCCTCTTTTTTCTCCTGATGACGATTGCTTGTGTTGCGATCGAAACGTCGTGATATTTTTCTTATTTTATTATTCACTTTATTTTCATTTTTTTTATTTTATTGTTCTATCTATGTGACTTTACCGAAAAACCCAAAGAATAGATGGCTATACTCTTTTGCAGTGTAGCCTCTTGACATTGACTAAAGCACACATAGCTCTTATCTTCCTACAGCAGATTCCAGATGTGAGGAATAATCGAAGAGTACATGGTCTGACATAAAGAGTAATTACCAATCTTGATTTGAATGTGTTTTAGGAGTTTTTTGTTCCTGGCTCCTCTAGAAGTACAATGTAATTGGTTCATCGATGTTCTGCGATTTTAATCCCTGCCTGGCAGAACGTTCTGTCTTGCTCCGTCTTCAAGTCAGGTGGGTTCACAGCAAACTCTACTTTATTGCCACTAAACAAGTGTTTCCCCTGCAAGTGACCTTTTGAACTGTGGATAGACATGAAAATATTCTCTTCCTTGCTGAGTCTCATAGCTTTTTCAGGAGGGCCCTGCCAAGTTGTCTCAGTTGCAGGCAAGCTTGCTGCTGCTGTGTAATCTCAGTTGAGTAATCTGCAGGTGATTTTTCACCTTTGGGATTTTTGGCCAATACAGTACCAGTACATGAATTCTTCTTTTTAGCTATATATATTTTAAAATTTAAAATTTGTTTAAGCAATATAATATTAGCTATATATTTATTATTATTATTTAAATATATATGAATCCCTGTGATTGTTGGAAGTGATATTCCATATACCAAATCACAAGGAATGCGCTCGATCTCATTGGATATCAGAAGCTAAGCAGGATTGAGATGGGACAGTGATTGTGGGTGACCACCATTCACACTGGATGTCATAGGTGACTACAAGGTTGTTGAGACGTGGTGGTCAGTGGAGGATCGTATAAAAAATGTCCACCTATGCTCCCCGCTTTCATCATCCACGCTGACCAGCATGGTGAAGTATGGTCAAATAACCCCCATGACCTGCACGGCATACAGGGAGGCCTTCATCCAGTATTGACTTGACATACGGAGTCTACAGTATGTGTAAAATGATACGATTGACATTAAACCCAAACTAGAAATACTGATCCAGCCGATCGTCAACGTGCTTGTACTCTGAAACCCTCACTAACGTTAGAGTGTCTCCAGGATGACACTAGAACCAAACACTAACCAAAATGTTTTTGCAATGGAGGTTCCTGAAGTCCAGGTTTAGTTCATGTAGTTCATTTCCTGAAGAAGCTCCAAACTGATGGAGCGATACCTCTAATATCATACAGCCAAATATCATTCGTTATTGATTTTTACATCGTGAAACCCTCCACTACCTGACGTCAGAAACGTTTCATGATCTGAGGATGTTTGACTCATTGCTCAGTTTGGTAGTGAGAATTGCTCAATGTACCGGTGCGTGAGCTGAAAAAATAAACAAGTGGCGTGTTTAACTGTCGGCGCACGACATAACTGTGTCATTTCTTTGGCTATGTCGGGTGGTGGAGGGTTTCACGACACACCACCACTTGTCTATGTCATCACGTAGCCTAACCCAACAAATCATTATAAAGAAGACAATGTATACTCTTTGGCTCTTTCGGTAAAGTCACGTAGGTAGAAATATAATAGATCAGATAGTGATCTATTATTTTTCTACCTACGTGATCAGATAGTGATCTATTATTTTTCTACCTACGTGACATTTAACCTTCTTGTTTAACTCGCACACATATATTTCAACGTCGGTCCAATAACATTTAAACTTCACTACTTTACCTCGGCCATCAGCTCAAAGGTGTAGGCGTAGGCGGGCTGGGAGTACACGAACACGGGCAGCGACGGCCGGGACGTTGCGGCCACGCGGAGCGCCTCCCGCACGCGATGCCGCACGAACCTCTCGCCGTTGCGTGACGAAGCGAGCGTCCGCTCCATGTAGACAGAGGGGAAGAGTGCCGTGCTGCCCTCCCACAGCCAGCGCAGGTCGTCATTCCGCTGCAGCTCGACGGCCGGGCACCGGCCCGTGTAGTTGAGCGGCCGCTCCTTGTAGTCGTAGTTGTAGCAGTCAGGGAAGAGGTAAAAGCCCCAGAGCGTGCGAGGCCTCAGGCCCCTGGCCATACGGAGCGTCTCATTCATGAAGGCGAGCGCCGCTGCGTCGAACTCCCTCTGGGCCTGCAGGGACACCCTGGGGCCCGGCCAGTTGGGCCGGCGCTCCCGCACGAGCTGCCGTGACTTCTGGCGGTACACATCCTTCTTCTGCCAGTTGCGCACCCACTGCGGCCGCCACTCCTCCCAGTCGATGACGGCCAGCTGGCTGGGCCCCGAGCTGGCCGCCCGGCGCGCCACGTACGTCTCGATATCGAGCCGTGCCTTCTCGAGGTGGCGCTGGAGGCTGGCGTTCTGCGGAAGGCCACCGTTGATGGGCGTTCCGTCCTCGGTGTAGAGCGGATATAGGCCCAGGCGGTTGTAGTAGAAGACGGTGACGCTCTGCGCTGTGATGCCCTCGCTGGGACTGGAGGACATGTCGAAAACGCCTAGGTTGAGGTCCACGTTGAACCGCTTTCGGCACTGCTGCGTGGGCGCGTTCCAGACCACGATGAACGGCCGGTTGGTCATCACTGGAGGCTTCGTCTGGTTCAGCTGCTGGGGCTTGGCCGATACTGCTGCTACTGCCTCCATCGTCACTATAAGACTCACGTAGATCAGAGCTTTGAAGGATATTTCCAAAACGCCAGTGCCCAAGGCTGTCGTGCAAATCATGTTTGTTCAGGCTTCTTGTTTTGAGGTGTCTAGAAATACAGAGCAAAAGGAAAGGTTTTAATTAAAGATTGCTCTCTGCCAATACATGATCCATGTGTTCTGTTTGACCGTAGCGTATTGATGTCGTTGTTATACTTCAGTCGTTAATAATATATTTTCCATAAATAAAATAACTCGTTAGTGCGCTAATGAATACACATGAATTTCGGAATCACTGTTATTCTGAAATTATGCATGTCATCTGGTGTATTTACTTTTGTATTTGAAGGGTTTTTTACTCTAACACGGTATTACATAGTACAAACTCTATAGAATGTAAGAGAGACGTGCAGGGTTTAGTGATATATGGCGATCTGTGGCAGGCCACGCGTGACAAGAATGTGTTCATATGCCCGCTTGTGTCATTACCACAACAATTATGGCACATTTACCCCACAGATCCCCTCACGGCTTTATAGTCCATTAAATTCCTAGTAAATAGCCGTAATTACAATGTTGTGTGAGTCAATTTTTTTTATACACCACCAAGCACTACTTAACTGAATATTCATTACTTTTCCATGAGGCAATCACACGACCATTACGGTAATTCTGCGTAGAAACTCAAATGTTGCGTGAAAATTGGAGCCCTGTCAAAAGTTTCCTATCATTCATTGACTTTTAGTGGCGAGAAATGATCATGTATTAGGAGTGTAACCGACACTTGCACATGAACAAGTTTGTTAAATTTGTTTAATCAGGTGAGAAGTCGAGACCAGAGGTCTCGTTGGCAAAAGTGATGTGGGGCTTGAGTCTGCCAGGAGGGGGCGATGACTACTGTCTGTGTCATTCCAAAGAATGTGTCATTCCAATTAAGTAATTTGCGCAAAAGTAGGAGTTGCAAGAGTGCTGAATTATATCATGCACAAGAATACATTTGCACGCGCATATCTGTACCCAAATCACCAGGAAAGGGCCCGATCTTATTAGATCTCTGGATAGGTGACCACCTTGCGCAAAAGACAGGTGTCCGAGGTGTGGTGGGCAGTAGGAAGTACTGACCGGCGTGGTGAAGTATGGTAAAAAATTCCCCACGGCCCGCAAGGCGTGGAGCGGCCTTCATCCAGCAGCGTGTTGGCAAAATGGGCTGTACACATGCGTGTACACTCACGGTGAACGGTGTTCGCTCGATTTGAAACTCTACTACACGACTGCAGTGTGAAATGTACAGAAACCTTTGCTTTTTTGCAAGGATGCTAAATGTATGCAAAATATAATGTAAATGTTAATATAAAGATTGTTACATGATTATTAAACGGCAGGCACTAAGCATCATACATTACTATTATACACCGAATTCAAGAGACTACGGTTAAATATGCATAAGGATTCATATGCACGACTATCCAGAAGATATGAAATGGCAGAGGGTTTTTCTGAATTTTTTTATCATTGTATTAAGGGGTGGGTATAGAGTAGGTGGTGTAACAGGGCAGCAGTGGCGCAGTCGATGGCGATCCCACTAACCTGGTTTCCATTCTTATCCATGGATAACGTCAGTGCCAAGAGAGGACTGATGATATTATGAAGTTGCCATTTGTCCTGGTTTTCCAAGCACGTAAAACAAACGGCTCCTATAGATGCATACCAAGCATTATCATTTCCATACGGATGATTGCTCATCTTTATCAGATTTCTCACGAAATAAACCCCACTGTCACCACCAGCGGAGCTACCACTAAATTTTTACATTGCTGCAGTGACATCGGGGATGTCACTGTATGTTTCCGGCCTGGAAGGGTCTTCCTTTCGATGTTCCTACATCGTGGACAGCACCGTATGAGTGGCTGTGTGTAATACCAGCCCTAGCGGGGCTTAGCGAGCACTGGGATAGTGCAGGCACCACACACAGGGTTCCCACGGGCCATGGCACTCTGGTTGACCCCGTAGACACGTGATCCGGAATGTCCACACAGGGGGCCCCGGGTGGGGGGACTGGTGGGTGATCACGTGTCCGGAGAGAGCTCTTGAGAAGGTTCGAGAGGGAACGAGAATGTTCGGGAAGGCGGGCGGGGCCGAGGGTGGTGTGGCCCCGACCGGAGAGGGATATAAAGCGGGTCCCTGAGAGGAACCGGGGTCGCTGCATTCTACAAGCTGGAAGCTCAACATCTACAAGCGGGAAGCTCTACGTCTCAAGCTGAAGCTCTCCGTCCTACGAGGAAACCACGTGGTTTGAGACCCGTGTGAAGGATCGACCCTTCGTATCAGTAACTCACTATAGTCTGGTAAAGGGGCAGTTACCCCTTTGTGTTACGGTGTTACAAATAAAAGTGTTGTCTCTAAAAGGAACAACGTCTGCGACTCAGTTGGACCCACTACATTTCTGACAAAACAAGCAGTCATTAAAGATGGGAGCGATAGCCCTTGACTCCGTATCCCAGGCTGCCTGGTGCAGGTTTTGAGGCTTGTAAGAGATAAATATATAATTTATAGTTACGCACAGGTGAACTGCACTACAGGGTTGGCACTTGGCCTGGTTTTTCAGGATTATCCTCTGTTTTTGCGAGCTGCCACCCTGGAAAACCTGTAAATCTTCCCGACTAATTCACACATCCAGTTTTTTGTCAATTAAATAATAGCAATATTATTACAATACACCACTTAAGACAATGTACGCATAGTTATCCCCTCTTGTTGTATTGTGAGATATGCTTCTTCCCAAGATGTCCTGGTTTTTGTACTTCGGAGGTGGCAGCATTCGTGGCAAGTTTTAACCTATCCTGGGCATTCCGTAGGCTGTACTCTGCCTCAAGTGAGGACCTGTTGCTGTGAACAAAACATCAGCGCGAGGGAGACAACGGTGACCAGACCTACTATTCACGCCATTCCATTATATCCTGAACTCTATCTGCACTCTATGTTGTCATCTTCATAGTGACGTTTGATGCCCAGGCCAGATGTTTTCCACATTTTGCGATCTTCAGCATCTCTCCAGGAGAGTTCTGTCCATCCCATCAGCTGATCCGCCTCCTTTCTCCTTCCCGTCCGTCGTTCCACGTTCCCCTTCACAATTAAGGGAAGTGATGCTGCTGCTTTTACGGGCAATAGGCAGTCACTAATAGCACAGCAGCACTTTGATCCAACAGTGTATACAGCTAAAGAGGAGGACTTCATTTCCATATAGTATGTAGTTTGTTGAATTCAATATCCCAGCTGCACTGGCAGATGTCACACAGCACCGTTTAAATTGACACTTCGGGCCATCACATGTTGTTTGAAAGAACGTAAAATATATATACGGTATTTAGGAAAATAGCACTGGCGCTTAAAGCAATCGTCTTCTTTTAAATCCTACGATCAAATCACCCGGAATGTGTCCAATCTGCTTGCATTTCGGAAGCCAAGCAGAGCTGAGATTGGTTGTTGTTACCGAGATGGGAGACTGCCTGGAAATGACAAAAGTGTTGTGGGTCATGGGCTGCGAAGTGGCCAGGGGACAGCAGCACACCAGTGGATTTTAAAAAAAATGTGTGTAGATCTTTCGATGTTGCCACCTGATATTTATGGAATTTCTCCAGGTATTCCTGCTTCCTCCCACATGAAGCAAACCATTCTCACTCTGTGAGAATTCTCCAACATCCCAATGCAGGGTCACCCTAAATTAAAAGCGCAGAGACTCAGCGAAGCTCTCCTGGGTAAATAATGGGCATTTATTAACACTGTTTTTGTAGTTGTGCTGTATGGCTTTGGTATGTGCGTTAGAGTCGTACTGTATATCTTTTGGCACAATATCTGACGTTTTGCTCCGAATACCTGGGAGCTTCTTCAGGAATTGAATTGACTTAATCGATTTACTTAATTCCTGAATACATTTCCAGCCCGTTATGCAAAACGTTGGAAATCATGCCAAACAACAGACGGTACAATTCAAAAATACATCGGATGGTATTTAGTATCGTTATGTTTTAAATTTGTTTTTTAAATATATTTTCTCCCCGATTACAGTGTGTGTCCCAATTGTATTATCTACATGCAAAACCAATGCATTGAAATCTGCTGCACAATGTTTCACAAAGTGTACAGCCACACCACAAGCCCTGGACGAGTCCTTGTACCACTCAAAATATCTAAGCATCAGAGCAGGGCTAGTATCAGATGAAAACACTGCATATTTCAACATGCGATATTTGTGCAGTAACTTATAACCCGACTTTGCAAAACGTGCAAGTGTTACCTGTGTTGCGCACCTGGGTTTCAACCCTTCCGTTCCCTCCTGCGCTGTCTTCTTGCTATCCAGAATTGGTGGGTGTCAGCCTATTGAGCCATCTGGCCATCTATTAAATATTACTTTGTGGCCTCCCAATGTGATCCAGTTATGTAATTGCAGTATTTAATGTTTATCATGCACCGAAATAAATCTGGCCAGGTGGCACTGTGGTTAGAGAGCACTCGACTCGGAAGGTTTGCAAGTTTACACCTCGATTGGGTAAAGGTGCAGCATTGCAATCGCATGCACAGCGGCACTGCTGGCATGAATGACTGTGTATGCCGGTAACTCGGTGTTTCTCCAAGTATCTGCTCTCCCACAAGATATAAGCATCTTTACTACACCTCGCTACAATAAATAATGCAGCCTGAACGATAAATAATTTGTGAAAATGAATGCTGCTGGTATGTGTTAATTGTGGTACATTTGGAAGAATTTCACGCTGTGGATCCACATTAACTCCATCCGTGCGTGTACCCGCGTGCATACCTCTGTCTTTGGGAAATTGTGAGTTCCTCCTTTTTGGAGGGCATGTGACTTTAAACAAAAGTAGTATTCGTCCGATTATTTGCTCCAAACAAAATGAACTTTCATTAAATATTTGGCAGTGGTTTTATTTTGCACCAGAAGCTGGTCTCAATTTTTATGCTGACACCCAAAACAGAAGACTCAACCTCAAACACAACGATGAATATAATTCATACGATACCGCAATGTAAATATATTTGGCATGGAAAACTTCACGCTCTCAGAAATGCAGTGATTTTTTTTACAACTTTAGGA